TGTTTGAGCCGGCTTCTCTTGGGAGGTCTCGCCACCATTGGCATCTGCTGGACAGGAGAGGGGCTAAAGCGCTCCAGCCACCCGAAGCGCTCAGGGTGGCACTCTCCTCCTACCAAGGGAGCCAGGAATTTTTTGGGTTGCGTTTTCATCCTTGGCAGCGGCTCCCTGGAAGGCCGTGCTCAGCCTGGGCTTCCCCATCTGTTCTGCTCGCCTCTCTGGGAGGCTGCGGAGCTCGAGGGACGCGCGTAAAGGCCGCCGGGACTGCTTATAGAAAAGAGAAAGAGCAACGCGTCGGCTCGTGCTGCGGCACTCCGCGGCAGCGCTGGCAGAGAGGCGCCGACACAGGCTCTCCCGATGGCGCCGTTTGACAGAAAATGGAAAGCAACACCACGAGAACACATCTGGGCACCCAACGCTTCATTTCTGCTTGTGGAAATGAACAGAGAATGGATGAGCATGGATTTTGGAGTCGTCTGTCCCTGCCGAAGCGAACCTTGGGTGAGAAGTTCTTACTCTGCAAAGCTCCAGCGCTCCCTCAGTCGCCCGGCATCGACGGGCGGTCTTGGCTGTGGGAATGGGGAAAGCAGCCCTACCCGCCGCTGAAGGCAATTCGGTTCTAACTACGTGCCCCCGGGGAACACAGAGGAGCCCCCAGCTATTCCCTGCTCACAACCTCTCGGCACCAACGCCCTGTCCAGCTGGGATCCCAAAGCGGCCCCACGCCTCCCTCGGCCACGCTCGGGGCAGCCTGCGGGTTTGAGGCTCTAACCTGGTCAGCAATTAAACCAATCACGGGCCTCAGCTGAAAAAAAAAAAAAATCACGTTTATAAAGCTATTTTTGAAGCAGCCTGTCAGCCTTCGAGCCCCCGGGACGAGCCCTCCTTTCTGCAGCCGGAGGGCGATGGTGAACAGGGACTGTGCGACGCCACCCGGAGCGTTCCCAGCTTTCATCAGTCCAACGGGGGCAGCTGCAACTCAACTCAACTCGGCAGTAATTAATCTAGATTTTAATTATGCCGCTTCTCAGAATCCCAACTCAAATATTACTGAGCTAACCGAGGCGTTGCGCTCTGATGGTCCACGGTGGAGCAGTAATTTCTCCCCGCCCCGACGCTCCAGAACCCATCCTCTGCCCGGGGCTGTACAGGCGCCGCTCCCGCAGCCTGGGCTTCGAGACGCGGGGTTAGCGAGGGGCTGCGACACCCAAACCAGAGACACCAGGCGAGAACCCGCGCCTGAGGGCAGAGGTCCCTACGGATAAGGGAATAACGGTGCGACGTGCCGGGATGGATGACGATGCGGTGACTTGGGACGTTGTCCTGCCTGGATAAACAAACCTGGAAGGACACCGCCCCTACCGACCTCCTCACCGAGAGGCTCCCAGCCCTTCCCAGCAGCCTGTTCCCCAGCGCTGAGGATGAGGAGGCTGGTTTTACTTTTACCGAGGAGAAAGCGCGGACCAGGGAGATGGAATGGCGTGGCCGGGGTCACGGGCAGCTCCC